AATCTCTCTCTCTCTCTCTCTCTCTCTCTCTCTCCTCACACACACACACACACACAAGAAATTGTCTTTTCCAATATGTCATTTAACACAATAACCTATGGAATATGTGTTTGTCCTGTTTTAGTTGGAGGATGATAAACCATCTGTCCATCTGGGGGAGCTAAAACCCACCACAGTAGATTGGGTTAAAATACTTTAAATTGATTGAATGTAAAATCTGGTCTAACTATTAAAATATCAAATATCTAGTTTATGTTTCTTCATGCCAAAATCCTTGTAGCACATATTCTGGTTAAGTATTGACAGGCCACATTAATATATTGAAGAATTATAAATTTAAAACTCATTGCTAGTTATCAATACCGAGATACACACGCATTCAACAATTTAATATCTTCAGGTTGCAAGTTCAAACCTCAATTGTCCCAATCGGCGCGGAATTAACTACGTCTATCATGTTTTTGTGCGACAATCAACATGAGCAGAACGATTCTTTGTTTTTCTTAAAAGAAAAGTAATTTAATTTGTGATTCAGCCTCGATTCCCATCAAATAAAAGTTTGAGCTACGATAAAGGTATGTTTGAGGTGGCATGATTGGCTAATAACTTAAACAGTACCGAGATACGTAAGTTACAACATTTTAAAATAATATCAAGTCATATACGTATGAAACATTACAAAAAATATAAGTTGAATATGACGATAATTTTAAGTTATACGTTGACGTCGTGAAATAATATCAATAGTTTTGGTGATGATGACTCACGGTTAATATTGACAAGTTGAATAAGTTGCACGAGCCTTGTGATTATACGAAACGTAAAATGGGATCAAACAAATATATATATATATATATATATATTGAATTGAATATGAATGGTGTGAATTGAAATGATGTGAAACTCTAAATCCCCTCAATCCCTATTCATTCTTGGAAGTATGTATAGACACTAGACATTATGCAACTTCATTTCATCAAGCGAAGAGGGTACATGATGCACATCGTGGGTGACTAAATGTCATTCATGGCCCTCTGCCCCTTGTAATAAAAAAATGGTCGTGGTTGTGTTTCATGAATAAATGTCACAACTTGGGCCCCACCTAGTCATTAAATTGAACCATTGACAACATTAGTGGAGGTAGATAACAGGAACATATGACAAATATTTGATATATTTTTTTAGTTTAACGGTTAAAGATGTTCAGATCAATATATACATACATTAATTAATTATTTCTCCACTCCGATCAAAGCAAGTCATCTACACGAGAATTAGAGTATATATCTCATAATTTGACCTTAAGAGATTGTTAATATTTAAACTTAGAATGTCTAGATTTATAGTTCGTCCCCTATTACCACTTGAGCTACATGTTGAGGTTTATCAATATTTGATATTTCATGCCTGTGTTTTTCTTTGTTTACATTTATTTAAGTCATGAAAAGAGTTGAATTAATCTTACACAACAAGGCTATCTTTAAGAGAGGGAAAGGTGATATTAGTCAACAATGGACCCTCTCATGTAAAAAAAATCCCTTTTAATTTGTTAGTAGTAATTAAGACTAACAATGTCTATTCTCGAACCAATATGGTCGGGTTTGTGTCTTGTCATAATTTGTTCAATTAATCCTCAACCCACTTATTCCTGTTTATTATCCGGTTCTTATTGTGTTAGTTTCGTGCTTTGTAATGTAATCTTTAACGAATTTATATGTAGCATGTGTTAGTAAAATTTGCACCGACTCATTTAAAAGATATAACAAACTCACTATCTTACCACCCGGATTTTTAAAATAAAATTCAAACTCAAAATCACGTCTTTAATTGTCAGGCTGAGTAGCAGTTACAAATACTCCAAATTATATAGCTTTGTTGATTTAGGTTTTTTAGAACTTTCAATGTTTTCTAGACCTATTCTTATAAGGAGATTTTTTAGAAATTTAACAAATCAACCCATATATATTTTTCAGAAATTAATCCGATATAAACTTTAACCACATTCAATTAATCAGTCAACAATGTGTAATATTTAAAATTGTAGGGGCCACTGATGCAAAGCTACAATTGTGAGGTCAACTGTTTGATGTATGCATGGACCACCCCCTGATTGTGACAAAGCTCACTCTAGTATTTGTTAAAAAAAAAAAAAAAACAAAGATTAATCGGCCATTCTGTTATGCCTTTTAAATATTGAATTTAAATAAAAATAATTTTTGTCAAAAAAAATAAAACTGTGTTTGGTTTTTATTTTACTAAAAGAATGATTAAGAGGCACGGTGCAATGTAATTAAGGGATAACCCGTGCCTGAATGTACGGTGTAATGTAAATGATTTTAAGAGAGATGTTGGTGACCGTTGAATAAATCTATTTGAGACCATCAAATATACTTATTCATTTATCTTGTTATTTTAGTTAAAGTTGATAATCGAGCTGAACTTTACAAAAAGTTAATAATCCAGTCAAACTTAAAACGAACATAATCCGAGTCAAGTCTGAATAGTTGAACTATTTTATATATAAATAATTTGAACTTTTTAGATTCGTTTAATTTAAAAAATTGTTCAAATTTTATTTATTTATTTTAAAAAAAATTCGAACTCTAATTTCAGCAACCCAATTATATATATATATATCAAGCAGCATTTTGAAAGTTAGAAAGAAAGTGTTATTGCTTTGGTCTCTGGAAAGTTATCACCAGTGTAATACTTTTTTTTGTAATAAAGATGATCAAAATGTTCAGTGAGACTGACACACCGTGGTACATCCAACATGTAGTAGCCCACCTGGTGGGAATCCTAGGTTTATGTACGCAGACTACAAGAAGATTGTTTTTTCCCCCTTAATTCTAGATAGTTATGGAAATAAGCCTATGGTACCGAGTGCTATCAGCACGGGACAGATTAAGGGCCTGATTTACCGGTTCACTAGCTCAATCAACTGGTCCGATCTAATTTTGATAAAATTGATGGTATCCCCTCCTTGTACCATATCAAAACTAATTACCACCGTAAATTTTAATTTAAATGATTTTTAATTATTGATTGAAAATAGTAAAATGATATATATTTATTCATATTATATTTTTATTGAATAAAAAATAAAAGTATGTTCAAAAATTATTTTGGTAAGGTTCTTTATGTTCCACCCTATTAGGTGTCCTTTTTTACATTCTTAATAAATATCTTTACACAACCCGAGGTTTGCAAAAAAAAAAAAAAAAGGGATAAAATACATTTTTAGTCTCTTAAAGTATGCATTTAGTATCTATTTGGTCCCTAATTTTTTAATTATGTTTATTTAGTCCTTAAAGTTTTTAATTTGTATTTAAGTGATCCAATTCCAAGGCTGTCAGAAAATTGTTGATGGTTTTGGTCATGTGCCATCATGCGGTTCCTAATTTTATGCCTATTTGGTTCGTAAAATTTATAATTTGTATCTATTTGGTTCTTAAAGTGTCTATTTTTTGTTTATTTGGTTCCATGTGATTGGCGCATGACCAGAACCATTAATAATTTTTTGATGGACATTTGAGATTGAACTATATAGATATAAATTAAAAATTTTAGGGACAAAACAGACACAATTGAAAATTTGAGTATCAAATAGACACTATACACATACTTTAAAGAGTAAATGTACTCGTACAAATTTATCCAAAATATATTTATTTTTGACATTTTTCCCCTCAAGGTGCATCTTTTTTGTTGTTGAATTGAGTCGTACAAATCTATGAAAAAATTGTTATAATAGTAATATTACTTCATCATGATATAAATTATCATCAACCAGAAAATATCATACCACTAGTAAACCCTACTACTCCAATAACAATTAATAAGTGATTTTGGTCATTAAATTTTAGTTAATTCATTTAGGGCACGCTTGTTTATCGGGTTTGAGAGGTTTGGAAGGGTGGTTTAAAAAAATTAATCTGATAGACTCCATAATTTCGCGTTTTGTTTGCACTTTTAAACGCGGGATTCATATCTCGAACTATTAATGATTCGGTGTGTTAAACCTCACATACATGGAATTGGACAAACCTAGGTTAACTACGCTTAATGACCCTTATATCCCTAATAAAATATCATATATATCAAATTAAATCACATCTCAACTCCCAATTACTCTCCTATGTAATTAAACAAACATGATATAAATTAGATTGACTAACAAATAATATAGTCATTTACAAAATAAAGGTGTGCTGATAACTGTAATAAATCTATAGGTCTCATGTATATATTTCTTACTAAATACAGATACGAATAAAATTCATATATGAATTTAATGTATACAAAAGTGAGAGTTAAATTTAAAATAATTTGATAAAGCGAATTCAATTCCTCACCCTAAAATCATCCAAACATGCCCCTTGTAGACATTGTTCACATAAATAATATCAAAAACCGAAAGGCCGTTGCAGTCTGAGACTCGTACAGTTTCATTGACTCATGCCTGCTCACTTCTCGTGAAGCTACGTTAGTAGGATTTGCTTCCCAAACTCTCTCTCTCTCTCTTTCTCTCAGTCTCACTCTCTCTTTCTCGGACACAGAGAAACACCTGGGTCCGTGAAACAAATACCTAAACATATTGTTCTGCTCATCATTCTCAAACTCTATTTCGACCTCATGAAGCTTTGTTGTTCATTTGCCTCTGCAACCACATTCTACCTTGGTTCTGTCCTCATCTTCTATGCTATGATACAACTATAAAACCATTTTCGTTGCAACCCATATAGTCGTTGTATAGGTTTCTTTTGTTTGGTTGTTTTTGTTTGGTTCAGCAAGCTGTTTTTTCTAATACGGGTCTTTGGATTTTGATCAGAAATACTTGAATGTTGCACTTTCTTCCTGAAATTAATCGTTGGGTGTGCTTTGGATTGCTTGAATTTGAAGAATATGAAAATGGGTCATCTTCATAAATAGAAAAACCATATGGGTTATCAGTTTTGAGGTTCAAGGTCTTTCTTGTTGAGTAATAAATTTCCACCGAAGTCTCTGACTCCCCATTAATGTTCAAGTCATAAACTGTGAGAAACCTTTGCAAACCCAAATTGTTTTTCATCAGAAACTGCTGTTGTTGAGGCAAAAATCAGATAAATTTTGATGTTGCCTGTGCTGGGTTCAATGGCTTCTTGATTGCTCATTTTAGGGGGGTTTGGAGGCAAAAATTGAGTACTTTCATTTGAGGGCAACCCAATAATGGCTCTTTCAAGCTTGTTCACCACTTTGCTAATTGGGCTGCTATTATCAAGGTCTCAACTTGTGATTGCTCAACTCTCTCATGATCAGACCATATTGGTATCAGTTGGCAAGGAGCTTGGAGTTTCTGGGTGGGGTCTCAATAGCTCAGATTACTGCTCTTGGCCTGGGATTGGTTGCAGCTCAAACAATTCAATGGTGGAGAGGCTTGTGCTCTCTCATCGAGGTCTCCAAGGTAATGTCACTCTAATTTCTGAGCTCAAAGCATTGAAATGGCTTGACCTTTCATATAACAACTTGGATGGATCAATTCCACCTGCTTTTGGGAATTTATCTCGGCTTGAGTTTCTCGATTTATCTGCTAACAAGTTTGGAAGTTCTATTCCTATTGAGTTGGGGAGCCTCAGAAACCTTAGAGCATTGAACCTTTCTAATAATTTGCTCACAGGAGAAATACCTGATGAGCTTGAGGGCCTAGAGAATTTACAAGATTTTCAAATCTTTACTAATAGATTGATTGGTTCTATCCCAATGTGGGTGGGGAATTTGACAAATCTGATAGTTTTTACTGCCTATGAGAATGGATTTAGTGGTAAAATTCCGGATAATTTAGGCTTGGTTTCAGAACTCCAGTTGTTGAACCTTCATTCAAACCAGCTTGAAGGGTCAATACCAGAGAGCATATTTTCCACGGGAAAGCTAGAATTTTTGGTTCTAACCCTGAATCAATTGGCCGGAAATCTTCCTGAATTGATTGGCAATTGTAGAGGCCTTTCCAGTATTAGAATTGGGAATAACAAGTTCATAGGAAGCATTCCCAAAGCAATTGGAAATGTTAGTAGCCTCACATACTTTGAAGCGGACAACAACAATCTCTCCGGGGAGATTGTCTCAGAGTTTTCACAGTGCTCCAATCTCACTCTTCTGAATTTGGCCTCAAATGGGTTTACTGGAACGATTCCTCCCGAGTTTGGTCAGCTTACTAATCTGCAAGAATTTATTGTTTCTGGTAATAGTCTCTTTGGAGAGATTCCAACATCAATTCTGAGGAGCAAGAATCTTAACAAGCTTGATTTAAGCAACAACAGATTCAATGGCACCATTCCAGAAACTATCTGCAATACATCTAGATTGCAGTACCTGCTCTTAGGTCAAAATTCAATACGAGGTGACATACCCCATCAAATTGGGGACTGCGTAAAACTCCTTGAATTGCAAATGGGTAGTAACTATCTAACCGGAAGCATCCCTCCTGAGATTGGTCATATAAAGAACTTGCAGATAGCACTAAATTTGAGCTTCAATCATCTCCATGGAGTATTGCCCCCCGATTTAGGAAGGCTCGACAAGCTGGTTTCATTGGATGTTTCTAACAATCAGCTCACCGGAACATTCCACTTGCACTGAAGGGCATGCTAAGTTTGATAGAGGTGAATTTCTCGAATAATCAGTTCACTGGTCCAATACCCACCTTTGTTCCGTTCCAAAAGAGTCTAAATTCAAGCTTCTTGGGGAATAAAGGGCTCTGTGGAGAGCCATTGAGTTATTCATGTGGAAATTTGAACGGGTCTGACCACAAGAGTTACCATCACAAGGTTTCGTACAGGATCATATTAATAGTTATTGGTTCCGGTTTGGCAGTTTTTGTATCTGTAACAGTTGTTGTTCTGCTCTTTATGATGAGGGAGAGACAAGAAAAAGCTGCCAAAGCTGCAGGGATTTCCGACGATGGAACTAGTAGCCGGCCATCAATAATAGCAGGAAATGTATTTGTCGAGAATCTCAGACAAGCGATAGAATTTGATGCTGTTGTCAAAGCAACACTGAAAGATTCAAATAAGATCAGCTGTGGGACTTTCAGCACGGTCTACAAGGCAGACATGCCCTCTGGGATGATTTTATCGGTGAAAAGACTGAGATCTATGGACCGAACAATAGTTCATCATCAGAACAAGATGATCAGAGAGCTTGAAAGGCTGAGCAAACTCAGCCATGACCATCTAATGAGACTCATTGGGTATGTAATTTATGAAGATGTTGCTCTTCTGCTGCATGACTACTTTCTCAATGGGACTTTGGCTCAGTATCTTCATGATTCTACCAAACAGCCCGACTGCAAACCTGATTGGCCAACAAGACTCTCCATTGCAATTGGAGTAGCAGAAGGGTTGGCGTTCCTTCATCACCTTGCCATTATCCATCTTGATATATCTTCTGGTAATATAGTTCTGGATTCCAATTTCAAACCTTTGGTTGGTGAAGTCGAAATATCCAAGCTCTTAGACCCATCCAGGGGCACAGCAAGTATCAGTGCCGTTGCTGGCTCATTTGGTTATATTCCACCAGGTATATAGACAATGTATTCTAATTGCTTTACTACTGATTTCTTCTTCCTCATGTTGTCCTCTTTGTTTAGTAACTATTTCCTTTTGAGTTGTTTGACAGAATATGCATATACAATGCAAGTTACAGCACCCGGAAATGTTTATAGCTATGGGGTTGTTTTGCTTGAGATCCTTACAACCAGACTACCTGTTGAAGAGGCCTTTGGTGAAGGTATAGATTTGGTAAGATGGGTTCACAGTGCTCCTGGAAGAGGGGAAACCCCAGAGCAGATACTAGATGTGAGGCTTAGCACCGTCTCATTTGCTTGGAGAAAAGAAATGCTCGCAGCGTTGAAGGTCGCGTTACTTTGCACTGATAACACACCAGCCAGACGGCCCAAAATGAAAAAGGTGGTGGAAATGCTTCAGGAAATCACACAAACCTAAGTGGAAGCCTATTGCACAGGAGTTTGCCACAATTCTCAGGATCAAGAACCCCGTTGTGAGTTATGAAGACATCATGCCAATTCCAACTATTTTTTCGGTTAACTGTCATCCTCCGACAAGGTGGTTGGGGTGGTGCTTTCCTTCTCTGATTATCCACTCCTTGTTTTGTATGAAAAAGTATGTGAGAAAGGGGGTTCTTGTAATGTTTTCCAAATTGAAAAGGAAGACAAGACTTGGGAGGAGGATAAATGCAAAGAGGGTTTCCTAATATGGATTTTCCTGCACTGTTTATTAGGCCTTCATAGTATTATAGATATTTTTGGTTCCAACATGCGTGTGGAGCATATGTACTTACCAGAAAACTATATCCCTCTATAAAATTCTCTCTTTTTTATGACTTCCACTTATCGATCCCAGCCCAGAAAAGTGACCGACCAGGGTCCTATTGATGAATGAAAGAAAGGGTTTTTGAGCTCTAGCCCTAGCCCTAGCCCTAGCCCTGTAAGCCCACACCTGTGTAGAGTAGATCGTTCAACACCTGTGGCACATACCCATTTTTGACCTATTGGCCCAGATGATAGCGGCACTACCCCAGCTCTAACTTCTCTGCATTTCAACTTCGCTTTCTTGTTTGTTTATTCTTGAATCCATACTGAATCTTCCTTTCTATTGCGTTCGGGTTTTGCATGCTACTCTGCATTTGATCTTTTATCATGCTAAGAATAGAAACGTGGGATTACCTTGTGATTGGTTCTTGAGAAGATCAGAGAAGAAGAAACCCGGATATAAGAGCTTTTTAGGCCTGCAAATGGGGTAAAAACCTTGCATATAGTTCACTCTGCATCTTGACATTCATTTTGTGTTCTGGGTCTCAATTTCGCTTGCCTGAGTTTTCTTCATATCAAGGAATTAAATTTTGTGTCGAAACATCTAAAACGTTTCCCTTTGAATAGAAATCGAAACGAATAATTGATTGAATATTAAAATTCTTATGTTTCGAGCTGTTTCGATTGGTTTTGACCTATGTTTCAGAAATAAATTTTAAAATTTTTTCTTTGTTTTTGAAATATTTCTGAAACATTACCGAAACGTTTTTGTTTCCAAACTCACTGAAACTATGGACCAAAACGAAATTTTGATGCTTGCTTCAGATGTTGGTTCCTCTGCTTCTAGTGCCTTCATAAATTGACTGGGTGATCTTTGTCTCTAATTATCATTACTACTACTACTACAGTACTACTGCTACTTGATTCAAGTTGAGCTTTTAAAGAATAAAAACCATTCTAGTTCTAAAGTTCTTTGACTTAAGTCTGTCAAGGCTTGAAATTTTAGTCTACATACAGAGCAAAGATAGTACTGGCTTGAGATTAGGGTATCAACGGGCAAAAATGCAAGGTTTGTTAACTGCTGCAGGGGAGCAGGCTGAAGCACAACAACGACGCAAAATGAGTCGGACTCAAAATTAAGCAGAGCTAATGTTGTTTGATCTGCATTCAGTCACTGATCAAGACACATTCTACGACATAAATCCCGTCAATTTCGGGCCAAATTCTTTGATTTAGACCCTCAAATTAGCATTTTTGCCCTTTTTAGGAGAGATTTTGAAAATTTGTAATAAATCATAAAACATTCTAATTTCAGTGTCGTCAGTTAGTAACTCCAAACAACACATGCTTTTATGTTAATTTGTTAGATTGAAGTTTTTTTTTATTTTTGATAAATTTCGTGCAATTAAGAATTTTATTTTCAATTTTAAAAAGGGTAAAATTTTTGGACATTTTTATAAATATTGTCCCTATGTAATGTACTACAAACTATTCACTCAATAATACACATTTTTCAGGGTTTTCTCAATTTCCCTACATTGAGATTGTGTGCATGTTTACTACAACCAAGAAACGACGTTTTATTTGTATTTCTTATTTACCGTTGTCTCTTTCGACTAATAAATGATGATTTCTTTGTATTTTTTATTTAGCGTCGTCTCACCGGGGCGGCCTTCAAGGCTCATTCCTTGACCAGTGCTTGGTTTACTGAAGATTACTCGATTTGTTTGCAGAAGATCCTCCAGGGAGTCGCACACTTATTATTACCATTAATGGAAATTTTAAGGGTGGAGTTGTTCTGGGAAAGAATGGTTTTGGTGGAAGGTCCCTTGATTCTGTTGCTGTCAAATGATCCGTGTTGTGGGATGTACATTACATGTCCACTGCTACAAGGGTTAATTACACTTCCAATCCCTAAAGTACCACCCGATTCACACCTTGATCCTAAGCCCTTTTTTAAGTGTCCATTACATCCGTCAAATTTTGATGGACTTGTGGTACCCAAAAAAATAATAAAAATAGTTATTACAATACTGGTAAAAACATCCACAAAAGTAATAATTTTTTTGTACCAAACAAAAGTGGTAAAAACACGCACAAAAGTGATAAATCACTTACAAAAATGATAGATTTTTTTATTATAAAATGACCCATAAAAATTATAGAAACACCCTTTGAAGTAGAAAATTTTAGATGGAATTGCATGAAAGGATTTGGGATGGAATTGAAAAAAAAATCCCAGCAGTTTCAAGCCTGTATGCAGCTTCAGACAAGCTTGTCTTGCCAATGCTTCACAGCTACCGCACATCAGGATTGAGAGCGATAGCCTGGAAGTAGCTCAGCTCAAATGAAGGGGTGCCTCCTTGAGAAATCAGTGTCTTTGTGGAAAATATTAGATACTTTGCTAGACACCTAGATCTTAGATTTTTTACACAAGCCAAGAGTCCTCAATAGGGTAGCTCATTGGGTGGTAGCAACCATGCTATCCAATTCTATTGCTGTGATTAGTTGCCCCCTGATGAGTTTAAGCCTTTATTTTCCTCTAATTAAAATCAACATTTTCCTACTTAAATGAATTTACAATCTTCTTGTTCTTAAAAAAAAAAAAAAAAGGTAAATTTTAGAGGTATTTGTACTGAATTTTTTTTAGGGGTACCGTAGTCTAAGTCCAATTTTGATATAATGTCATTTTAGTCCAATCAATAATACTAGTTACTTTTTCACAAAAAAACGCACATGATTTTTCCAAGATGGCCGTCAAACAACAGAAACTAAAAGAATAACCCAACGTTAGAGGTGTAAAAAGATACGATCCCAAAAATAGACTACTTCTCAGCTGATCCCAGAAACAAAAATTAATCACCCAAAGAAAAGCAATGGCCAATTTTTCTAACAAAGACAGGATGACAATGCCAAATGCAGCAGAGCATCGCAAAGAAGTAAGGTATAACATCATAATATCTGACAAAAACAAGATGTCCCAAGGACACTGATAGTATGCAATGAGTGATAATGGAAATAATTGACAATCACGTGATCATATTGTTGGAATTTAATACGCTTTAAACCCACAGACAAATACAGATAATCGAAGAACAAACTAAGAACGTAAAACAATAAACAAAAAAGAACAAGACATAAAGATTTTACGTGGTTTGACAATTTGCCTACATCCACGAAGCTGCAGGGATTTCACTATTGGGAGAGCGGCTTTCAGTTCCAATTAAACCCTAAACACCAAAGTAGCGGTTTTTATATGTCATTCGCTCCATGGACCAAGTCTCAAAATATTTTTCATTAAAAACCACACAACATTATTTCAGGTCGGATCATCATCTGAATTATACTCACAAATTAGACTCCATAAAAATCCAACACATATTGCTCTATATGGGCTTCTAGCTGGAAAAACAACACAGCAATGGGATACATATTTCCCAAACTGTGCCATCCACAAAGGCTGTGGTTCTTATGCCCAAGCCATGTCATCAACACATGCTTCAAGTTAACCATGCCAGTCTTCTACATCACTGGCAAAGTTGGTCTAAATACTCAGCTGACTGAGGACACATTGCTTGCTTTGTAACCAATACTTACCTCTAAGGCTTGTACACATAATCATATAACTGATGTAACTCTCTCAATTCATAGATCCACATGGCAGTCCAACTTTATTGTAAGACTTAGGGTTGAAGGTGACAATTTAATCGTGTCGTGTTGAATTCATGTTGGGTCATTATGAATTCGTGTCAAACATTAATCAATCTTAATTTAACATATTTAACTAATTATGTAGTGTTGAGTTGATTTATTTATTTTCGTATCGTGTTCGTGTTCGTATTTGTATTGACCCACGTAAATTTTGAATAAAAAATTTAACGTTAATATTATATTTTCACTTAATTAAATTTAAGCTCATACTTTTTTCTACAAACTAAAAATTAACTTGATAAAAATAATACTAATTATATTGAGTAAAAATATCTTTTTTTATACAATAATTATGTCAGTACTTAATAAATAGTTATAAATAAATAATATTTTATTTATATAATATTAATTAAACATGTTAATTTTGTATTAACATGCAAATAAAAAAATAGAGAAAGTGCCCATTCTTAAATAAAACGAATTGATTGTGTCAATTAATAGTCGAAGCAAATTATCCAGCAAAACAAACTAAGTAACCACACAGTTAACGAAAATCAAAAGGAAAAATAATTCCTCAGAATATATCCAAGAAATTCCAGCCGAAATGGAGAATCAAAATCCTAAAGGAAAGACAAACAGTTAGAGAGAAAGAGAGATGATAGACTCAACTCACCGCGATGGACTTGCACAGAGACAGAGAGTAGTCAGTGTCTCGGAGCTGTGAATGATCTTTTGGTTTATTCCATGCGCAATAGCTAGGATCATACGTGGCGTTTTGGGCTGCTTAATGCCCAGGCATCCACCTCTTTTTTTTAATGGTTAGTGACATTCGATTAATCTTTTTTATAATCTCGTTATTCATTCTTATTTTTTTTTTCTTGGGTATAAGTCATCAGTCATTAATTTAAGGGCACTTAATCGTATAAATTTCCTCATGTTTGAAATATTACATTCAACCCTTTTAGTAGTAACAGAAAAAAACTCTTAGATGACTATTATATCCTATAATAAAAAATTGAACACAATTGAATCTAATCTATATTTGAACTCGAAACCAAACTCTAACTCAAAGTCAAATGAAAACCCTTACTCAAACTGTAACGAAAACTCAGAATTTAATTTAAGAATTATTTTTTTCTTCCTTTTGCGCACTTGAAAATCAAATAAATATATGATATTCATCACATACTTTTACTTCAAGGATGGGGTCAAGATTTCGTCGTGAGGGGCCAAACAAAAATAATCGCATAGTAAAAAATTGTGTTCAATAGGACGAATACGATTGAACAAGTTATCGTTTATGTCAAACATTTTTTTCGTTGCATTGAACTAGTGAAATTGACTTTTATATGATATACAATTGCAAATTTTAATTTGAGTCATAAATTTAAAAAATCTAAAAATTCATTTTACTGACCATCATATAAATTAGTTTACAACAATGTTGCATTTCACTTATTTCCTCTTTCATTACATGATGCAATGACTTTATGATGGTCAGTAAAATGAATTTTTAGATTTTATGAATTCAGTAAATACGCGGAGTAACACAATATGCTACTTGATTTTGATGGTGCTGTGATAACGAATTGCCCTTCCAAGTTGGTAGTTATGGCTCAATCAGAACATTTCACAATAGAGGACACCCAATATTACTACCTAATTACCCCTTCCCTTTTTCTTTTTTCAAAAAATAAAAAGACTAGCCGTAGGATGATTGGTGTATAAAATCATCCACCTAAGTTTGTGAAGAAATATATTAAGCTTGAAAGGGCTTGATTTATATAGATAACCAAAGACACCTAGAGTGTGGAATCTTTTCCAGCAATTTTAGATATCTCAATCAACCAAATTTCGAAGAAGGTGCATTCTCACCTTTGAATGAATGCTCACAAAACCATTTCAAGTAATCAATGAAGATTTTGATTTTGAGACGAAATAACAAATGAGTTTCAAACTTCCATCATCTCTCTCTCCCACACAAGCACGTGCGAGAGAGAGAGAGAGGTGCTACAAACCTACAATCATCACTAGTGTAATATGCACTTCAAAATCATACCAAGCAAGTAGAAAGATGAAAATTAATTCGAAATGTAATCCTGACCCTTGATTTCAAGACAATTCATGGTGCCTAAAGGTGTATTCAGTTACAAACACAATTTCTTCAAGCAGACACTAATGGATACTAAGCTAACAACTCAACAACAGACTGTAAGCAACTTAAAGGACCAGCAGTGCAGATGTTACAATATGGGTCTTTCATCCCCAAAACATTATGCAAGTTTTGAAGTTTACAGATATTTCCATTAAACAAACGGCAAGAATACATTCGACAGTAAATATTTGTTTTTGTACATCAAAACGTTTAAACAGGATGGGAAACCCTCTGGTTTAACCCACACATCTTGCTGAAACTCCATACTTTCCGGGAGGAAAATCTAGAATATGCCTCCACAATGGTGATAGACTACACACATTACATGAAACGGGAGAAAAATAAAAGAACGAAAGAATTTGATTGAAGAACCTCCCAAATCAATCAAAATCCTGATCACAGCTCTGATGAATTTGCCCCCCATTTCTGTATACCACCTCTGTAAATGTTCGGAAACATAGGCTGCTTGTACCAAGGAAGCCTTTGGGCAAGAGGGTCAAGCAGCCACTTGGGAGCATTCAAACTCTCTATCTAAGACTTGATAGTTTCCTGTTTGTATCATATCAACATCCAGCAGCTTTTAAAAAGTTATCGTAAGGGCTTGATGCTGGTAACAGGAAGGAGTGAGGATGATGTTGATACGCACTTGCACACAGCATTGGAACACTAACACCAGATGATTTTTTTGAAATTGCTACTGCCTCCGGATCCAGGAAAGGATTGCCAACCTGCAATATTCAATCAAGTTGCACAATATTAAATTTATTCACAGCAAATGGATAATGGTTTTATTGTTTTAAAAGTGAATACATGTAGGAACTTAGGAGGGTGGGGTGTGTGATATACCTTCAGTAATGTTAACTAGAAGAACTATCAATTAAAATAACAAGAACAAATAAATGTTTATTCACCCAAGGTGTGCTAAAACTTGCTATTGGTTAAAATGTTACAGCTTACAAATTTTGGAAAAGAATCATAGAACATATGTACAATGATCAAAATTTCATTTCAGCATATTGTTTCAGTCACCGAAACGGAAATGTTTCAACGCGTTTTGACTTATTTCAAAAACAGAGTGGAGACGAATAAAAAATTTGAGAACCATTTTTTCAAAACATCAATTGAAATATACCAAAACATCTTGAAATATCTTAAAATATTCTGAAACAATTGTGTAAATGTGTCAAAATATTATGAAACATCTTGAAGGATTAAAATTTTGATTCCATCACAGATTCGTTTCGATCTCCTTACGGAAATATTTTGGCTGTTTCGACCGTTTTGAAACGAAATTTTAATCCTTACATATGTATATATCCAGAATTATAGTATGATGTTCGAAAAAGATCCATTTGGCAAGTGCTCCTTTTGAACTCAAGCAAAAGATAGGCAACATGAAGTACTAATCCTCAAGATGGGTCATGCCAAGGCCTAACTTCAGGACCTCTAGATCTTTTATTAATAGATACATATGCCATGACATTACAAACAAGAAGAGTGCATACGTATAGTTGAATGCATGTGCCAGGCCTCAAGCTTCTATCAAGAGATTGATGTGGCGAGGTAGAACCAAGAGAACTGAATTCAGATATAATATGAATTTATTGAAATATACAAAAACAAGGAAGTACCACTTGGAAACCTCCATCAACACGGGCATAAGAAGCCATCTGCTTGTCCACATCAACACTTTGAGAAGTTCTGCTCAACAAGTTCTCTTGTCCATGCTGCATGACCATCAAGTGGGACATCATCTGGTGCTTTCCTAGTAGAAGTGCCTCACAATGATGGGCCATTTCCTTGTATGACACGTCAGGTGCAGTGCTCACAGAGATTCGCCCAACTTGATGTGCTGTCTCCAAAACCTGTGCACATTGAGCATACCCTTAACTATCGTGCAATAACCAAATACACTTAGATAATGAGATTGATGCATTTCACTTAGATGAGCTTTTTACTATAAATGATATTAGGTTCCTTTCTTTCCCTGCAACAGATAGTAAGATACCATACATAGTTTGACTGCAACTTAAAAGAATAAAAGTGTTTTGTTCAGCAAGCAAGAACCTTATAATAAGATCAATTTATTAAGATTCAATGAAACTATATTGAATATAATCATGATTTAAACAAGTATATTTTTAGGGTAACTAAGCAAACTTCAGCATGAGAAGATATGTAAATGAGACGACAGTAAAGATAGTTTTAGTCTGAGGTAACATCAAATAAAAGAAGTCATGACCAAGATGAAATCTTTTTATAGCATTGACAAGATTTCACTTTAGTGAACCCGATGGGAAGTTGGTGAAACCTGAGCGTAGCTATGTCACATGAAGCAGAGAAACACCCCATGGCAATGAAGAGGACAACTCCAGAATAAGAAACAACAATGACATCATTTTAAAGCAAGAGAGAAGATGGTTTTCAGTTCTCATTTGAAAATAATATACTCAAATATAGGAAAAGATAAACAGGAGATGAGATGATAACTAAGCGTATCTTCTCCAAAGAATTTCTAGCAAATAATAGTACAAAAATTGCAGAACAGCTGCGGGACTTCCAGATATTATATCAGCTCTAATGTATAAAAATAGCCAAGTTGGAAATAAAAAACCCTAGACATATATAAGAGCTGCGCCCGGCCCTGCCATATATTCAATATTTCAGATAAAATGCTTATGTCTTCTGTATCTGTATGGGTTCCATTTGTGATTTTAGCATCCTTCAATCTGTTCTGGACTGCTGTACTTCTATTGTTGGCCCATTGGCAACCTGTTAACATACTGCTGAACATGTGCCGTACCCAACATTGAAAAAAGTTTTGACCCTTCTTCTAATTCAATTAACTGATTAAGCCACCCCCAGAAAGTTAGCTTGCTCGTAGATCACTAGCTTCTATACATTTTCTCAATGAGCCTTATTAACTTGTAGAAAAAAAATCTAGCAAATAGTCAAGTGTCAGGTTGGTGAAGGTTTCAATTATCATATCACCTTTCTAACTTTTAGGCATTTTTGAAAGGAGCTTTTAACAATGATATTCATTTGCTGATATGGGATTGCGTATCATGATTTATGAAAATGGCCGAACACAGGCGTTGTTATCTGACACCAGGAAAAGTGTCTTAGATAACCCCATAGAACAAAATAAAATGCAACAAAGGTGTTGGTGACTGGAAATCAAACATGCAAACATATTACTGTTTCTAATGCAGCAAAAGCTGCCAAAATGAGTTTCCTAGTTACACTGGCAAGGATGCAGTGCTTCAAAGCGGGGGATGCCCAAAATATTAAAAGTAAAACCACAACATATCAAGCAAACTCAACCAGTTTCTTGAACAAAATTGCATAAAAGTGCAAACAAAATGTTACGTTAAGTTTCTTATTTACTCCAGAAATAAAGTGAAATTAATGTTAGGTTAAGTTGCATAATCTAGGGGGGAATCTTGAGCATATTCTCATCTTTGGCATCCAACTCTTCAAAAGCGCACTATATAATGTCTCAGCAAATATTTATAAATATAAGTCCGCAAATCAGTAAAGAAAACACTAACTAACTAAAAAGAGAACTGCAGAGCCAGTTTTACAATCACATATTTTCCTCAATACAAGCTACCAACAATTGCCCCATCCTTTCAGGATCAGTATCCCCTTACTGATTGAAATGAACAAAATACATAATACCACATGCAAGAGTAACTTACTGATTCTAGAAGTTGATTGACACTCAACAGGTTGGGGATTTCAAAGTCCAACTGTGGATTGTGTTTAGCTTGACTTTCGAACGAATCTGTTAGAGCATCATCATCTATTGCAAAAATTGGGGCAGCCTAAACAATAATCATTAAACTAATTAGTCTCAATAAACTAGTAAATCGCGGAAGCCACAAAATGTAGTAGTTACCTCATCTGGAGATTTACGGTTATTTGAATCAGACTGATATAGTTTTTGGGGAGCATCCATGAATGACTGGGCTCCTTGAGGACACACATCATCAGGTAGAAATTCATTGAGCAACTGCTCCCTTATGGTGGACTGCTCAGACTGCACAAAGAAGAGTCAAGTCATAATGATTTAAACATCAAAAGCACCACTTGGGTTTTAACAATAATACAAAGGTTTACATCTGATAAGGTATCCAAACTCTCCACAACGACAGAAGCTAAGGATTCTAACTTCTGGTCCTCAGTGATTTGTATTTCTGAAAAAAATCTCAGAGCAGTATTATTATCTTCTTTAGATCCATAAACGGTTTTATGATGGCTAGATCCAGAATCAATGGTCTGTAATTTGCAATCTTCAACCAAACACAGAAATGGATCAACCTGACACAAATACAGAACAATATTAAGGAAAATATGATCTAAATTTGACCCAAAGAAAATGTTATATGACAATGATGCACCAAAAGGAAACGAACCAAAAATGATGTCATTGCTATGATATCCAAGAGAAGTTAGTTGCCCCTCAGTAAACATGAAGTCAATGCAGATAAAAGCTTATCAGCAATGAGTCACCTACCGTTTTATCTGTAACTGTAGCCCTGACACATGGAATAAGCCGCAGAATATTATATGCTTTTGATGAAAAAATTATCATAGAAGTTGCCAAGAAAAAAAGGGATCTGCGACGTGATGGTAGCAGTGGCCCTGCAAAAAAAGTGGAAATGGACCATGAGTAGACAATTTAACTACGTATTAATGTCAATTCAACCTTGTCCACTATGCATCACTATCAAATCTGATTCAACAAGAAAAGGTAAAATCATGAGTCAGTAGGTACGATAACTCCTGAAAAACATGCATCTTTATGCCTACAGATCTGAATCATGCCAAATCATCACTATGGCAATTTGGACTCCTTTACCACATACATGTTGAGTTCAAACTGGTTTAGAATAATCTTCCAAAGGATTCCAAACAACTTTATTAAGACCAATGAATATAACAAGGTGGTTAACCAGTCCCCTCACAAGGATAAACCTGATGTTCACTATCCATATCACCCATTTAAATAAAAACTGTTAAAATTAAGTAATATTGGGCACTCCAACACTAAATGAATCTTACATGTCCTTAATAGTGTATTTGCATAGTCCGTGCGCATGTGCGCATGTTTAGTATTGGAAGAAGGTCCATGGATTTTAAATTTCAAACAATTAATATCAGCATGAAGACATATTCCTGGTCAATAAACAAACCAATCAAGCACCACAAACTCTTTCAAACTTCCTATTCAGTTCTAAGAGATCCTTGAGAAAGCTTCAGATATCTCAAACATTAAGGCTTCAAAATCTGCGTGACAGAGACAAGTTGAATGATAAAACAAATTCATTGGGCCTCCTCAATCCTACTCATGTTATGTGTATGGTTCAAGGATGAGAAAGCTGCCATATATCACAAGCAATTTCTCAGGGCGCACACCATCATTCTTTCCTTTATTTTCCTTTCCTCACAAAAGTACCTCACAAAATTTTGCCAAAACAATGATGACAGTTGAAATGGGAAGTGTATGCAATAGCTATTGCCATACGATTCTCTTTACGCAAGTAGAATGGTCATCACACCATCACACCTCCCCTTCCCAAAAACTGAAAAGTAAAGAGAAAAGAACAACCTAATCCGTTAAAATCACATGTATGGTGTGAAATCAAATTTCAGGGCCTACCTCCTTCAGAAAAAGAGAGAGTCTTCGTAATGAAAATGCTAGCTGAAAACTTCGGACCAGACCTCACGACTGGAGTTCTGCACAATGTTATGCATCTCATAAGAATAAATGCTCAAAAAGAAAGCATCTTTTTGTGACATGGAAAATATATGATAGTCTTAAATACAGCCACTTGAGAGAATTAAGACAACAAGTAGCATTGTCTAACAGCAGTATGAAAAGAAGTCCTGAGACCTGTAACCCTATGTGACTGGATCCAATGAAAGGAAATGTACAAGAGTTCTAGTGCGGTGATTGTATCTCATAAAGAATTTTGCATGTCCGGTATCAATTAAAATGGCCAAAACATTTCTCTTCCATCGTAAACTGCCATGGTGGAAACTGAGATTCATAAAATATTCATGTATACAAATTTGTTCACCCGGACGTACATGAAACATATCAGAGTGCTCAAAATGTTTCTTCTATGTCAACAGCAATCAGAAAAAAAAAACAAATAAAGAAGCTGTATCTAATCTTTTCAAATACAGGCAATGTGTTGACCTAGCTAACCATGCAAATAATTTTGTAACTTGGATTTTTTTCTATGAATGTTAGTGCATATGTGGATGTACTTCGATAGGACTGGAAACAAAATAATATTCATCATTGACAAGCAAGCTTAAAAGAAAGAGCTAAAAGGACAACAAATTCAGAAATCTTAAGTCCATTTGTCAAATCATGGATCGCCCAGGAATGCAGCGTCAGCACAAAAGCCATGTAATTTAACTAACATAGCCATAGTGTGATGTAAGAAGCCAACCTCCACACTGCTAAACGCTCTACTAACAGAAAACTACTCTGTCTAAGGCTAAGTTA